TCTATTCTATTCTATTCTATTCTATTCTATTCTATTCTATTCTATTCCATTCCATTCCATTCTATTCCCATCCCATTCTTTTTCTCCTATTCTATTCTATTCTATTCTATTCCATTCCATTCCATTCCATTCCATTCCTCTACTCTACCCGCTTTCTTCTTCCCAAATAGTGATCAAAATGGACGATATCAAGGTATAACTTCTATTGAAATGAAGTAGATTGAAAAAAAGGACCTTGGCAATGTTGTTCCTTTGACATTATTTTCTCTGAAATTCTTCTCATACTGAGGAAGTTCGACAAATTCCACCAACCACTGAAGCGTCGCTTCTTGTGTCCAATTGTGAACTGTAACACATACATATAAACAAACGTTATTTTTGTACAGGCCCTGATGATCAAGAACCCAATCAACAGTCCAAATAAAAAGCCAAAAAAAAAAAGTACTTTTCTGGCAAGTCTGCTGTTCTCATCATGTGCTCATCAGAATGAAGATTATCGAAAGATTATAAGCAAGTAATTCTTTAAAATATTCCTTGATTAAAAAATTCCACAGCGTCTTTTGAAACAAAATCTTGTGACTGATAAAATGTATTCAAGAGCTTTTTAATCCTTGCCATCCTCTTCTGCAGAACTTGGCTTCAGAATTGATTTGGGATCTTTTCACACACACACAATGGAGTCAATGTATTTGCTTCAGAATCCCATGCAAGTTGTGTCATTCTGGTGTGTGTACGACACCAAAGGAAGAGAATGACGATGACAGGTAAGAAAAGCAAGAAACACAAGTGGTATACAGATATCTAAACACAGCATGCCTGGCATTAAATGAATTGACTATACTAAATATAAATTAAATTAATGTATTTCTCTAGTCATAACTCTGAGGCAAGGAAGAGTTTTAAAAGACCCTTCTGAACTGAACTCAATCACGAGAACAATCCAGTGAAAGCCATACAACTTTGCCATACAGTAGCACATTACTGAAATAGTGAGAGTTCTGCCCACCATAAAATTGATTTCTTGTGGAATGTGGCTGATGATCTCACAAAGATGAATCATGTTAATTTTACTAGGAGATTAATCCTGCAATAGAACTCTCTCAAGAAAAAAGACGTAGGACAAAGTAGAACAAGAGAGACACCAGCAAATTCCTTTTAAAAGCCTCAACTACATGCCTGCAATGATAAACGGGGGTGTGCTACCCACAGAAATGGGACTGAGACAACTCCAAGGAACACGCCCGATCGTGATCAGAAGAGAAGGTTGTGTTTTTAGATCTAACAGAAAAATGCACCCTTCAATGAAGACATTAATTCATCAATATGTATACCTCATATTATGAGGTATATGTATACCTCAAATATGTAATTGAGGTATCCAATTGACATCTCTATGTGATGGAAACGAAGGTCCTTATCTGTAGCATATTTCATCATATCATATGTGTCCTTGCAAAGTCTAAAGGACAATGGCAACTTTGGATCCCTATTTGGCTACACTTGCTAAATTTGGTTGTATTTTTTAGAGTATCCTCTTTCCGCAAACCCATTTCCCTTCCTTATTTTTCCTTTTCTGTCTCAATCACCCAGGACAGGTCATGGTTGTCCCAAAGGTATCCCTCCCCCCCGCCCCCCCCCAAAAAAAAGGCAACTGTTTTTTTTTTCTTTTTTCCTTGAAGACTTTTCGTTTCTCATCCAAGGAGCTTCTTCAGTTCGGAACTGAAGAACTCAGAACTGAAGAAGTTTCTTGGATGAGAAGCAAAACGTCTTCCGAGGAAAAACAAAGTCCAGTTGCCTCTTGAAAAAGGACCACTGGGTTCCCTTGCAACACTAACTCTTTGGAAAAAAATAATCTCCAACTTCTGAAGCAGGTGTGGTGTGTGGGAAACTAAATGGGAGAGGAAAAATCCCCTCAGAACTCTTCACTGAATACCCTCTTTCCAAGCTCTTGTTGTGCTGCTATAATCTCCAAAAAAGGGGAAGTTGACAATAAAAGAGAAATAAAGAATGAAGAGGGTTCTGAAATTGCCAAAATTATTATTATTACTATTGACCTGACCATTGGGGTCCCCAACAGCTTTATTATTATTTCTTTAAAGTTTTTTTATTTTATTTTTCCAAACATTCCATCTTTTCTTTAAACAGTGTCTGGGTACAAATATCTTGTGCCATAATATTTATGGTTAATACAATTTCCTTACCATAACAGCAATAATTACATTACATTCTTATTTTAAACTACTATTCATAATATATCTTGTTATAACCACCCCCTTCCTGAATCTTTCCCTTCTATATTAATATGTTCATATGTGTTCTCTCTCTCTCTTTCTCTCTCTCTCTTTCTCTCTCCCTTCCTCCCTCTCTCTCTCTACATACACACACACACATATTTATATATTCTATATTCATATACTTAATTTCTAATTTCCATTCTTTTCCAACCATTGATAAAATAATTCCCATATCATATAATATTCAGTTTGTTCTTTTTATTTAATTGCCAGTGTTAAATCTATTCATTTCTGTACATTCCAATGTTTTCCTGATCACATTCTCTTCTATCAGAATCTTTTCACTTTTCTAGTTTTGAGCAAATACTATTCTAGCTCTCAGCAGCTTTATTATTAATTTCAGTTCTGGAATCTGCTCACTGCCACAACTCTTTTTCACCCCAAATATTTCTTTTCTTCTTCATTATTGACATACACTTTTGAAATTCTTTGTATAAGGGTGGGTTAGTAATGCAGCACACAAGTAGGCTGCTTCTAGAGAATAAAACCTAGAGTTTTTAATTCAACTTATAAATCAATCAAGAAATGGTGAAGTATTGTTGATTAAAAATAAAACTTCAAGAAGTCTTTCATGCTGTTGCCTTTCTAGACAGTTCAGCTGGAGCATAATTCGGCTACAAATTCCTTTTATGAAACTTCAGAGAATCAGATGTTATTAACGCAATCTTTCACCTAAGCATTTTAAATCAAATGTATAGACAATTAAGTATGTAGGAGTGAATAAAAAGTTGGCGAAAGTAGGGGGCGGAAGAAACAAATACTTTTAATCTTTTAAAACATGGGTTCACCATGAAGTCAAACATTATAAACCATGGAAGGTTTTTGTCTACCATCCTATTTTGCACGGGCCCAGAACAAAATATAAATTTGTTTTGCAAAGGGTGGCACTGAATGTATGCAACTAGCAGCACAATTATATTCCCAGAAAATAAATAACTAGCATGCCTTTAGCACTCCAGGAGAAATTGTTTACAGAGCAAGTTAATACCTAAAAGCAAACTGAAAACTTAATTAAGGCCATCTGGTCATAATTATTTGATAATTTTTATGGATGTCTATACCAAAGATCCATTTACAGAACAAAAGTAAATAAAGTCTAAATAATACATAGCTTTCTTACAATGAGTCAGAAATTTTTATGCATGATATATATGATTTGATTTGATAGACATTAGAGAATAGTATTAAAATGTGTACACTTATTCCATCCACATGTAATAACAACAGGAAAACTACCTACAAAATCAGTATCTAATGGGCTGGAATAATCATAGTCAGTAATATTAATTAGAGAAAGTAAGCCATCTGAATACCTGGGATCATTCTGCTATACGAGATAGTTTCAATATCCCAAAACAGCTGCTTTCTTATATGAATCTAATTTATTTCACAATTAATTATTCAACAATGAAGATGATGCCAACACTATGGTCAAGTAACAGCTTTCTACCAGAATAACAACAAGGTTGTGTTTTATAACCATCTATATATTGGGTGTCTGATTCTACTACGCAGGTTATCCAACATCTGCTCTTCCTTCAATTTTCGTATTTATTTTCCTTTGGGTGACAAAGAGGCAAATAGCTGTTTTCATTTGTTCTTCCCCAGGTTAAGATATTCTTTAACATAGCCCGTTTAAATGTACTTCCCTCATCCATCCTAGAGCAGAGATTTTCAGAGTCCCAACCCAGCCTCTGTTGTTACACCTCCCGTACCTTAAATTTGTTGCACCATTCTTCTAGTCTGTGTTTTTATTATCAGGCTAATGGAAGGAATTCATTATTTTGCTGTCTTACAGGTATGAGAATGAGCCCAAATGTAACTGAAACAGTTGCATAGGCCAAAACAGGTTGGTTCCTGGTAAGCAACAGAACGAAACAAGGCTGTAAGTTCTCTTTGTGTCCTTTTACAAGCTATACGCCATCTTTGGTCTGATCTAAGTGTAGTACATAAAATCATACATTGCAGTGTCCTACCTGTCAATCAATACTTCAGCTTCAACCCATAACAACACAAGAGCACACAATAGATACAAACTCACGGTTAACCGCACCAAACTTGATTGCAGGAAATACGACTTCAGCAACAGAGTGGTCAATGTCTGGAACACTCTACCTGACTCTGTGGTTTCTTCCCCAAACCCCAAAAACTTTAACCTTAGACTGTCTACTATTGACCTCACCCCTTTCCTAAGAGGTCTGTAGGGGGCGTGCATAAGCGCACCAATGTGCCTACCGTCCCTGTCCTATTGTTTCTTTTATTTATTTTTTTAATTATATGTATCCATGTATTCATAACTATGTTTTCACTTATACATATTATCTTGTAAGCGATTGACAAATCAAATAAATCTAAATATGTGAATTTATTGCCTATACATTGGAGGCTGAACTGGAAGAAGATAAGCATGGTTTTAAAACTAGAGGAAGAAAATCCATAACGCTTTCTGTGTTGATAACTCTAGTATTCAACCTAGTGCACACACACACATACACATCATCATCTTCATCATCATCTCACCAGTAAGGTCTAGTGGTTAAGGCACCAGATTAGAAATCAGGAGACTGTGAATTCCAGTTCAACTGTAGGTATGAAATAGAAGGAGGAAGGTGTGTTGGGTATATTCACCACCGTCATTATTTGTAAAAATAATAGAGGCAGGAGACAGACAGAGAGACAGACAGACAGATAGATGGAGAGATGGAGGGAGGGAGGGAAGGAGGGAGGAAGGGAGGGAAGAGGGAGGGAGGGAGGAACAGATGGACAGACAGACAGACAGACTGGTTGATTGATTCTTGGCAGCTTACAAACAATAAAGAGATAAATATAAAAACAATTAAAATTAAATAAGATCTGTAGAAACATGATCTCCCAACTGTACAATTCCAGTCCATTTGATGTTTAAGATGTCAACGTATTATGGATTTGTCTTTCACCATGTTCAGCTTTTCCAGCTTCCTGCTTCTTTTGTGCCATGTTCCCATTGTAATTCTGCCTTTGTGGCTTCTTATTTCCTTTTCCTGCCTGGCAGAATGAGCAACTAGATATCCCAGTGGCCTTAATCTCACCATGTCATATACTGTACACCATTCATCCGGAAAAAGAGTTGGAGTCCAACCTCCTGCTCAAATAGGAAACCCTGGCCATTTCAGACAAATGGCTACCCAGTCTCTTCTTAAAAGCTTCCATGATGAAATACCCACAACCACTGAAGGCAAGACATTCTACTTGTCGATGGTTCTCACCGTTAGGCAATTTCTAGTTTGATTCTCTCCTTGGTTAGTTTCCATCCATTCCTTCTTGTCCTGTCTTCTGGTGTTTTGAAAATAGGGGGACCCCCTCTTCTTTATGGCAGCCCCTCAAACATTGGAAAACTGCTATCATGTTGGATGCTACCTGACCTGAGGGGCCCATCATCAGGCGCTATACCATCAATCATTTTATCATGTCTATTTATGAGATCTTCTGGTAAAATACAGGAATGATTTATTATTGTCTTCTTTCGTGCCATGTGAAATATTACCACTCAAGAGATCATCTGCTCCCAATATAAGTGACTCCTTGCTTTAGCTGGCAGTAGGATGAAGGCAGATGAAGGCTGCCAACTCATCTCTTTGGTGACCCTGCTGGAATTATATATGCACTCTTAAAATTCTTTGTTTTCTTCTTCCTTCCAAGGAGTGCCACTACCACAATGAAGCAGCAGAGAAGTATTTGGGCATTTCATTACCAAACAAACCAAAAAAATAAATAAGACAAAAAGAAGAAGTATTGACAGGTAAGAGCTTCAATATTTAAACAGTTGAGAAATGGTTAAAAATTTATGCACACCAATTCCAGTAAAAACTGTATTTTTTTAAACGAGCATTCGAGAGAATATTGAATTTTTTAGCAATCACAAACCACACAACAAATTATCTTGAACTGCACAAATTTCAGTAAGCGAGAATGCAAAAAAAAAAAAAAAAAACCCTGCCTGAAATATGGGAGATTAATACTTATGAATATGGGCTATTGGGAGTTGCTTTCCTAAACTATTCAAGGGGTTGTTGTATTTAACCAACACTTGACCTGCACAAATGTAAACAAAAATTCCAAAAATCCAAGGGATATCCTTGTTGACTCAAGATGATTTGTGATTTAGTTCTATATTAACTCTACTTGCATTTCCAAAATCGGATTTGACAGTATAAGTGTAGGAGAAGGAGGGGCAAAACTTGGGGATGGAGTCAAAAGAGGGATTAATCTAGAATCCCTATGTAGCCATAAGTGAACTAAGTCCAACCCTACCCCACCCTTGAAAACCATTGGCTCTGATCTAATTCCTGGCATACATAACCTTTTGTTGAGAAGATTCCTGTGCATAAGCTTTTAGCAATGAATCAGCTGAATTGAACCTTATGTGGACCTGAACTTTTACACCTGGCAGTAACTTCCTTCTACTTGCCTCAAAACGCTCACAATATGTTTTGTACTCTATTCTGTCAAACACTGAAATTGTGACTTTAGCTCAAATGTTTATCATTTCCCAAAGCGATCCAGGCCTAAAGCAGGAAGCATTTATTTTAAGAGACTGATTTATGCTACATTATATACTTTGGCTTTACATGCCTCAGCTTTTGCTTTCTTCCTTTTCTTAGTTCCTGTTGCATTAAATTGCTTTTTATTATTATTAAACATAGCGGAGGAATGCACAAAATGGACACCTTACCCTCTGATGTTTTCCAACGTTTCCATAAATCCTCAATGGTGATGTGCTTGTCTTCCCTGTGCAAGTGGCTGTGCTTATTAGATGCATCTTTATATTTCATATCTTCTCTGATAAACTAAAAGAAAAGAAAATTGTGGTATGAAACACATTAGGTTGGGCAAGTTGTAACAACACAAACCAACGATGCTCAAATTATTCACTTCCAGGTTCAGGCAGGCAAGGAATTTCCTTGTGTATCTAATCATTATTCTTAATCACTCGTTTAGATCAGGGGTGTCAAACTCAAGGCCCGGGAGCCGGATGTGGCCCACAGGGTACTTAGATCTGGCCTGCAGGACCGCCTTGGAAACAGCAATGGACTGGCCTGCAGTGCATGGGCCAGCAAAAAATGGAGCTTGGAAGGGCCACCTAAGCTCCATTTTCACTGGCAGAGGGTTGCAGGAGGCCATAGCAGCTGAAAATGGAGCTCAGGAGCCCATTTTCGCTGGCAGAGCGCTCTGGCCACCACAGGCGCCCCTGACATGAGTGACATCGAGCTGGCCACACCCAGTCTGGCCCTCCAAAGTCAAACACAATCCTGAGGCGGCCCTCAATGAAATCGAGTTTAACAACCCTGGTTTAGATAATCATTACAGTTATTTTTTTTAAAAAAAATGGAAATAATTCCTAAACAGGCATGAACATCACCACCTAATGTTGTTTCTTTCTTTCAAATATGACACAACTGGACAATTTTTCTCTGGGTCCACATGCTACAAATACATTACCAATAGTGAAAATTGACACCCCCCCCCCAAAATAGAGGAGAAACTGACTGGAATATTGGCTAAAGCAACTACAGGTTGCCCTCGAGTTGCAACTGTTTGTTTAGTGACCATTAAAAGTTTCAACGGCACTGGAAAAGGTGACTTATGACCCTTTTTCACACTTAAGACTGTTTACATAGAGATCGAAATTCAGCTGCTTGGTAACTTTATTTATGACAGTGCCCTGATTCCCTCCTTCTGTGACCTTCTGACAAGCAAAGTCAATGAGGAATCTACTTCACTTAAGAATCGTGTTACTAATTTAATTACTGCAGTGATTCACTTAACACCTATGGCAAGGAAGGTCAAAAAATGGGAGCAGAACTCCTTTTAAAAACTGCCTCACTTAGCAACGGAAACGTTGTGGTTGTAAGTCGAGCTAGCTAGCTAGTTCTATACAAACCTGCAAATTCTCCTACACAGTGACCCACACAATTCAATAGCCTGTATAATTATTCCTATTCAGCAAAACCACCATCAAGAAGAAATTAAAAATTTAGGGCAGACATGTAGATACCACTAAAAATGCTATGTAACCCATAGCATTCCCTACTATTTTGTTGTCTGAAGCGGAAATCTGGATATCATTACTTTCACGTGTTCAATAAATTTGTATTCGTACATATAGATGAAATTGTAAGGCTTTTACAATTACAAGCTTGATGGATGATGGCTTCGTAGACATGTCCAAGTAGAATGTGAAATTAATCTGTCTTTGCCCTTTTCCTGGGTGATTTTTTTAAAAAATTCTCGGTGTGTAGCCTAAGGCTGTGGGGATCCCTGTTATACTTCTATCTAAGCAGACCAAAGGCCTGTTTAGCTTCCTAACCCAGACAAGACTGCCTCATTTTGCTGGGCTTTGCATATTTGTGAGTTTGCAATATATACGCAAACCATGTGCTTACAAAACGTGTCCGTAAAAAAAGACACTTCATTTACTTCCGCTGCTTCCCCCCTCGAAAAAGTTATCTAGTTTCATATATCCTTTTTCTTCTTACAAAAGGACCTGACAAATTAAGAGAAAAGCAGGAAGGAGGGATGCAGGGAAGGAAGGAAGGAAGGAAGGAAGGAAGGAAGGAAGGAAGGAAGGAAGGAAGGAAGGAAGGAAGGAAGGAAGGAAAAATAAGAGGGAGGGAGGGAGAGAGAAGAGAAGAGAAGAGAAGAGAAGAGAAGAGAAGAGAAGAGAAGAGAAGAGAAGAGAAGAGAAGAGAAGAGAAGAGAAGAGAAGATCCCTGTTTAGAACCTATAACTGTGGATGGTTAAAATAATAACAATAAAAGAAGCTGACCAAATAGTGGATCACCCAATTATCTGCCACAAAGAGATCACACAGATTGACTACAAATAACTGCAAAACAAGGAGGTAACAATAGTGCATGGGAATACCTACCCCCACCCCCACCCACCCCAAAAAACCCCTCACTTGCCTGGAAGCAGAACTGGTGGAACCACAAAATAGACAAATAGCGAAAAAGCTAAACTGCTCTGGGAGTTCAGAATTCAGACAGAGAAGAATATTATTAAACAACAGGAACCTATCCCAGGTGCTCGGGAAGGATCCCAGGGGTGGACAAAAATGCCAAATCCACTCTCAACACCTGGCTGACTGCGTGTCCAACCATAATCAATTAAATTTATCTGCCATCCGATTTCTGCTGACTCCAAATGCGCAAACAGACGTTCCTTTTCAACTAAAGGACACCCCCGCCCCCTTCGGAGGCATCTAAACTCCAAAACAAGCTTTAGTTCCTGCTCGCTATTTTATTTCCAACGATTCACCTGAGGCCCCTGAGAGGTGAAGAGCAACTCTCACTTTAGAGTAATTATTTAGAGGGGGTGAGGGAATTCTCTTCCTGCAATAGAGCATTAAAGGCTTCCAGAGGTGGGAAGAGTTACTGTTTTAGTACTTGATACTTGAATCTCAGAAACTAGCCTTCACCGTATAGCGAGAATTCTTGTAAAAGTCAGCAATAAAGTTTACAAGAACAGACTTGCAAAGGTATGAGGCGATTATAATGCTGTGGCAAAATGTGTTCCAAACAGTATATTGTAATAATCACCAGATTGCCAATTTCAATTTGGCTTATCATCTGATTCTTGTAGAGCTGGGGGGGGGGGGGGGGCGCTAAAGTCAAGGACTGCAGGGCAGATCTGGCCTGCAGGGTGCTTAAATCTGGCCCACAGAGCTGGCTTGGAAATAGCAAAAGACCAGCCTAGAGTGCCTTGAGCAGCCAAACTGGGGCATGGGGGGGCACACACTGCCCCTCCATGGCTCATTTTGGGCCTGGACAGCCTCCTGTAGTACTCTGCCAGCCATAATGGGCTGCCCGGGGGGGGGCAGGGAGAGGGGGGGCGTTCTGGCCAGCTAAGTGCTGCAGGAGGCGTCCATCCCATCTCCCCCCCCCCCCCCCGCAGTCTGCAGAGAATTACAGCGCTGATCCAGCTCTCGAATAAATCCAGTTTGACACCCTTGTTGTAGAGGTACAGGTATTTCAGAGAATACAGGTCGTCCTCAACTTACAACAGTTCGTTCAGTGACCATGGAAAGTTACATCACTGAAAAAAAAAGTGACTTAGGACCATTTTTCACACTTACGACTGTGGCAGCATCTCCAGTGTCATGTGATCAAAATCCAGATGCTTGGCAACTGACTCATATTTTTGACCTTTGGGGGTCCCTCAGGGTTCCCCCCATTTTGAGACCTTCCAATGAGTAAAGTCCATAGGGGAGCCAGATTCACTTAACAACCATGCTACTATCTTAATGACCGCAGTGATTCCCTTTGACAGCTGTGGCGGGAAAGTTCGTAAAATGGGGCAGAAGTCACTTAACAAACATCTCGCTTAGCAACAGAAAATTTGGGCTCTACTGAGGTCGTCGGTTGAGGTTCACCCATACTTCAATACTGTTATTTCACACCCACGTAACAGCAACCCGCTTACAAACTTACTTATGTACAGACAGACATAAAGGAGCTGCTGAAAATGTGACAGTTGCAACATTTGCAATGGAGCCTCTGTGGTGCAGTGGTTAAGAGTACAGTACTGCAAGCTACTTCTGCTGACTGCCGGCTGCCTCCAATTTGGCAGTTCAAATCCCACCAGGCTCAAGGTTGACTCAGCCTTCCATCCTTCCGAGGTGGGTAAAATGAGGAGCCAGATTGTTGCGGGCAAGAGGCTGACTCTGTAAACCGCTTAGAGAGGGCTGTAAAGCACTATGAAGTGGTATATAAGTCTAAGTGCTATTGCTATTTCCAACAGGATGTACTGAATGTTTACAGCAGCGAAAGCTATATATGCAGCAGAACATACATCATTTTGTACTTGGTGATGTGAAAGATATGTTGCATTACTATTTTTTGATATAAATTGTCTTAAAAAAAAAAAAGTAAATAAATAAACAAAAATAAGGCTCAGCTAAATCTTCCCTAACCATCTTTTAATAAAAAGAAGAGCGTTTTGGTTTTCTTTCCTTATTAGACCAATATGCAGTCAACCTTATCCCTCATTCTATTGTACGGGTTGTCCACAACTTACAACCCCCACCGAGCCCAAAGTTTCAAAGCAAGACAATTGTTAAATGAGTTTTGCCCCATTTTATGCCATAATTCTTAAGCGAATATGGCAACTGTTAAGTTAGTTGTAAAATGAGACCAGCTCCCCCATTGATTTTCTTGTCAGAAGGTCTGCGAAAGGGGATCGCTGGGCAATTCTGTGAGTTGAAGTTGTGGAGACTGGCTTAAAGTGACATTTCACCGATGTTATCTGATTCTATTCGTGTTTTTCAGCCTGAACCAAAGAGGGTCAGTTGTGGTTCAGAGGAAGTCACTGAAGATAAGAAGTCAATAAACCAATTCTGCAATTTCTACCAGCCTGCCTTTTATACTTTCAACCTAAATTACTGCAGTTTTTATTTCAAACTTTTTTTGTGTCTTTTCATACTGTGGTTTAAATGTCCAGTATGTGCTGTCCAGACTGTATATAGTTAATTGGGAATTGGGATAGTTAATTGGGAATTGGGAGCTGTCTCCTTAAGGGAGTACCTCATGGGAAATGTAGTTAATGCATCATGGGAATTGTAGTTCATGTCATGTGGTCACAACTGTAATCCTGATTGGTCACTGAATTGACCCTTGGTTGGACTGGGGGAGTTTCCAAAGATTTGGACATTAGATGAATCTCGACATAACTGTGAGTTATACCTTGAGGATGCCTTGTGATCCAATAAAGAAACTTTGCATGGAAGCCTTTGTAGAGTTTGCCCGACTGTCTTTATATTCAGCCAGCAATTTAAAGCTAGAACACAGTG